AAGGATTCTTGCTTAGATGTGAGTTTGCCTATAGTTATATTGAAGTCTTATATTGTTATTATTGTTGTTGTTGTTGTTTTTAAGTTGAAGAGAGAAGACAAGACAACAAGGGGAAGGAAAAGTGGTAGAGAAGTCACTTTTTCACAAGGTAAGTAAATCCAACCAAGTTGAGGTTTAAATAAGCTTTTGAGTAGAGATTGAGTAGAGATGTATGCATGTATACGCATGTAGTATGCTTGATGAGAAATTGAGTTGAGAAGCTTTTGAGTAGAGATTGAGTAGAGATGTATGCATGTATACGTATGTAGTATGCTTGATGAGAAATTGAGTTCAGATGAGTAGCTATTTTGTGGTTATAGATACACTTCATTTATGAGAAGTGTTTTAATGTGTATTGAGAAGTGGAAATTGAGATGAAGTTTTGGGAGATGCTGTGTAAACCTATTTGGAAGTGCTTTCTTTGACAGGGATTATGGTTATATGAGGGAGTTTTCTCCCATTTTGGATGGCTAGAGAATGAAGTAGAGTAGTAATTATAGTAGAGTTTTTGTATGCATATGAGTTGTTTGATGAAATGCCTAAAAGAGGTATGAGTATGAATAGTTAACCTTAATTCTTGCAACATTGCATATTGGCATTTCCTACTTGCATTAGTGAGCGTAAAGCACCCATGTGCATAAGTTGTGCCTTGAATAATAGCTTGAGATAGAGTAGAGACTTTTAAGTATAAGCTACACTTTGAGTAGTAGTTTGAGAAAGAGTAGAGAATGTTGAGAATAAGCAACTCTAATAGTAAAGATAGAAAAGAGCATAGAGTAGGTTGTGCGATGGGGAACCCGTGAGTAACGGGTAGAGTATTCCCGCACCGCATGTACTCCGCAATGAGAGAGCGGCATGAGTATGAGAGAGAGAAGTGGTGTAGCCCGTGAGAGTGCATGCGGATGAGGGCTATACCCGAGAGTACCCGAGAGAGAGATTATTTACTCACATGGCCAAGGGTTCCGAATCCATGTATAACCGAGTCCGATCGGCTAGAATGAGGAGAAGTCACGTAGAGCGGGAGCGAGTCCCGGCCGTGCCTCCGGTAAGATGAGGCCATGACTACTAAAGAGAGTTAATAGAAAAGAGTTATGAGAAAGAGAAAATAGAGAGAAGTATAAGAGAGAGAGAGAGAGAGTAAACGAGAATTGTAAGGAAAGAATTAGAGAGAGAGAGTTACGGGGATAGATGAGTAGAGGATTTACTTACTGAGCATTAGTTGTGCTCACCCCGTTGTTTTTTTTCATGTTTTTGCAGGATCTAGGTGAGGACACAGTCGGATGGGCGTCGGCGAGCGAAGGTAAATGGCTACATTGTCCACCTTGTTTTGATCCTTTGTACATGATACAACTTTTTGTATAAAGAATGTATATGTTTAATAAAAGAAAATTTGGGCCCAACCTTTTTATGCTATTTTATATGTATTTGATTATGTACATGTTTTATGAGTATTTGAGTAGAAAGCGGCTAATACACTTTCTTAACAAAAATATCAAAAGGTTTCTTTAACAAATTTTATCATTCCAAATAAAAAAAATGAAGTTGAAATCATATATATATATCAAGCAACCAGATCTCAAAAGCAATGTATAATAAAACTAATCCAAAAATACAACAATATGTAGAAATAAAATTTCAACAAAAAAAAAAAAAAAAAAGAGAGAGAGAGAAGGATGTGTTCTTGGCGGAATCTGACAATTTTGATGGTGGTAAACGGTAAGTTTGTTGGAGTTGTTGAACCAGTGGTGAAGATGGGGAGAGTTGAGAGAGTACAACCAAGGTTTTGAAACCCGGACCGGCCCAACCGGTTTAATCGGTTCGACCGAGAATCGGCAGCTTAACCGGGCCGGTTAGGGTAGAAAACCAAAAAATGAGAATTAATTCGTTTTGACCCGCGGTTGGACCAGTGTTACTATCGCGACCTGCTGGTCCAACCGGTTTTGTCAACTCAAATTCCTAAGTTCTGAGATTCAAATCCCTTTTACAATTTTCAATTAAAGACATGAGGCTAATCAACCCAAAAAAATAATACTAATCAATGAAGCCACTAGAAGAAGAGAGAATCCAAATCGAAGAAGAGGAGAAAAAACAAGTGAAAGGAGTTGAAACCCTAGGCCGTTGCCGCTGTGGTGGCGATGGTGGTGGAGAATGGTGGAGGTGCATATAACAGTGGCGGCACATAGCTAATAAGAGAGAAGAAAATGAGGATTTTGTAAAAAAAGGAGTGAATGTGTTTGTGTGTTTTGGTGTATAAGGCATGTACCTTTTGATTAGAGGAAAGTTGAAGAATCGGAAGAACTTTAATAATTAGAATAGAAGAAATGAAAGAGTAAAGAACAACAAAGAGAGTTAGAGAAAGAAGTTGTTTAAGCTTTCTCTCTCTACTCTTCTTGGTTCCTGCAACCTTAAGATATAAGAGATTGAAAATAAATAATTTAATTTAATAAATAAAGAAGGTGTACTTATATTGCATTTAATGAGCTTTCATTGAAAAAAAAACAAATATTAAATGTCCTTGAAAAAGATGAAGAGTGTACTGTATTGCATTTAATGAAAAAAAAAAAAAAGTTGTTTGTTGGTGGACACATTTCGATCATATGAGAGGTGAGAGATTCATGAGCTAATGAGATAAAGAATGAGAAGTAGACAGAAAACATTGATGGGGTGATGAGACCAAGAAAATGATGTCATCGATCTGACTCGTCGGTCAAATCGATTCAACCGGTCAACCCAGGACCCGGTCATCTGTCCGGGTCAACTTTTAAAATATTGAGTACAACTATATCTAGAAAAGAAAACATATATTAAAAAAAAAAAAAAAAAAGGGAAGAAGAAGAAGAAGAAGAAGGAGGAGGAGGAGGAGAAAGGATGTCTTCTTTTCGAAATCCGACAATTTTGATGGTGGTAAATGGTAAGTTGGTGTTGGTGAAACAGTGGTGGAGGCAGGGAGAGTCGAAAGAGTTTGAAAGATGAGAGAAAGACAATAGATCCAGGGTTGAGAAAAAGGATAAACTTGTGGCTTATATACTAGTAATCGAGTATGGGAAGGTATATATTAAGGCTTTTACTTCACCCAATAGAAGGTTGACAAATAATTCTATTTTGGTTTGCGGTTTCCTGCTCAGATCCAAGGGTGTTTTTGTTGGATTTTAAACCTGTAAGGACTAATAAATTTTGTAAAGGTGTATTTGCGAGATTTCAAATATGTTGGACTTACTGATATCACCGGTTCAACTAACCGGTTGGACCAGTCAACCTGAGAACTAAGCCTTTGACCGAGTCAAGGCCAATCCGATTTTCAAAACATTGGTTATCACTAGCCAAAATTTGTAGATTCAACGGGTTCCAATTTCAAATGTAGTCTAATTTCCACAGCAACCACTTGAAAAGTATGTTACATAATGGCTAACGCCCAGGACTAGGACTGTTACATAATGGCTAACGCCCAGGACTAGGTATTGCAAGGGTTGTGACTATAAGTTAGAGAGATAGACAACACTATTGTACAACAAGAGAGTGCTCCCTCATTTAATGATCCAATTATATTTTGAATGTATCTCATATCCATTCCATCCAGTATCATACAACTTCCTCGTTCAATGATCCGATGATCCAAATATATCGTACATCCAATCAATCAATATCGTAAAATTTCCTAATTCAATTATCCAATCAGGTATTTTCCCAGAATTTAGGTAAATGACAGCCCTCGACAAGAATAGTTTGGAACACAAAAAGTGAACATTCACAAAACACCCACTGCAAACCATGAGGTGTGGCCCAACTGATATCTGAGCTCAAGTGGGATGAACTTTACCTGTAATGTCAAGGTTTTGAACCATTGTTTTAAAAATCGGATAGTTCGTTTACCCGTTCAAGAGGTTGGTTCGCAGGTTAACCAGTCCAACCTACTGGACCGGTTGGTCTGACCGATATATAACAGTTATATCTTTAAACAATTTCATTAATTGTTATCAGTTTCAAAACCAACAAATACATCCTTAAAATTTACTTATAAGCCCCTATAAGTTTAAAATAAAACAAATGTACCCTGCAGATTTTATTATTAATTATTTTTCTCTCTCCCCATCACTTCCATCTTTCTCCTTTTTTTTTCTCTCCCCATCAGGTCATCACTCTCCATCACTTTCTTCTTTCTCCTTTTTTCTCTCTCTCCCCATCACTCCCCGTCACTTTCTTCTTCCTCTTTCTTCTCTCTCTCTCTCTCTTTCTTCTTCGTCTCTTTCTCTCTTTCTTCTTCCTCTACTATAATTTTTATCTCCTCTTCTCTTTCCCTTCATCTCCTCTTTTCTTTCTTCTAATCTTCTTCCTTACTCTTTCTCGTCTCCTCTTCTCTTTCTTCGTCCTTCCCCTCCCCCTATTTCTTCTTCTTTACCAGTAGATTTTTAGAGTAAGTGAAGAAGAATAGAAGATGAAAATGGAAGATACAATTTGGTTTTTTTATTCAAATGAAATGGAGAATGAAACGATGCTGCAAATTAGTTTATTAATTAGGAATATGAATTTTTTTAGATTAGATACCCAAAAATAGCTAACCATTTTAAGCTCCAGGCCGGTTGGACCGACGGTTTTATACTGTTCCGTCGGTCCATTACCGGTCCAAAACGGGTTTAATAACATTCCTGGTTTTATATTAACCCGAACCGAAGTAAAGGCCAACTCCTGATCGAACCAGCCGGTCCGGTCCGGTCCGAGTTTTAAAACAGAAGTTTGAACCACACTAAAAGCACCTTGTGACTAGAGATACTTACTCAAGCCTTGATCTGGATTAGTGTCATACCTTTGGGTATGGGAAAACCCGAGGCTTTCACCAACCCAAAAAAAAAAAAAAAAAAGAAAAGGAAAACACCCACTGCAACACAAACACTAACAAGTAACAAGAGAGAAACAGATAGCAGCAACAAATACTAAGCTCAGCTGAGAAGTTCAGCACCATCATCTGTACAAAAAGCACCAAAAAATGGTGTTCAATTTCAGCCAAAACACTGTTAAAAGTACAAACAAAACAAAGGAGACCAGACCCAATTAGCTTTTCAACTTATAACTTCACTTACAACTTCTTTTTCATCATCTAAGTCACTCTGGTGCCTATCAGTCAAAACAAACTCAAAACATGCAAAAGCTGGTTTCGGCAAAAGGCCACCGGCTTTTCTTTCTCATTAGCACAACTTCATTGTATATATGAAACCCTATAAAATTACCATGGGAGCTACTGACAAATGCTCACTAGTCACATATGGTATATAGACTGCTCAACAAGACATAAAAAACCGATGGTAAGCAGACATTAAACATTGGTCTGCATTTATATATACACATTTCAGCTAAGGAAGAATCCACCTGTAAAGGCGGTGTATCCTGGTACTTAGTCAATGGCAAGAATGAGGATTATCCAGAGCTCCTTCAGCGAAACCCAGTTTAAGGGTTTGCTATGATGAAAACTGTGGTTTTGTATATGACTATAGGGATGATCTCTCTATTCTTTTTGTTTTTCCTCCTATCTGGCACCATTTTGACCAATGCTGGGATTTTTCTTCAATCCACCATGTATTAATTACATTGCTATCGGAATCTTTTGGGTCAACTAAACCTTTCCTCTGTTTCACTGCTTAAACATTGTCTATGCCTTGTCATGTCATTAAGCAAAAACAAGACAGCCTCCACAAAACAGCAGGTGCATGCTCCAAATTTTCATGTGACTAAGCAATTCACTGCAAAACAATGAGATAAAAAAACTCACAACATAAACATTCTTGATGAAAGCCTTAGCAAAAAGAGTAAAGACATTTAGCAATGTCAATAAAAAGCAATGCACAAAATTCAAAGTCATCAAATTAGGGATTGGTAGTTTTTGAGATATCAAATTGCCTAAATGGGACGGACATGTACAGTGAGAAACCATAAACATTCAGCGTTCCTATGATGCCAGAAATTCAGTTACTTATTTTTATTTAGACTTTAAAACAACCACATTAACTGTTCATTTTCCATTGATTTGCAAAAATTGGAATATACAAAGCTAGGAAATTCAAACTAGTTGTATATGTCACATTGTATTCCAAGACCATTTCAATGCACCAAATAGATACTGGGACAAAAAGAAATCAGTACCAATGAATACAGGCTTACCAGTTTAAACACACTAAAAACCTGAACTTGACTTCTGAACCCAGACTTGTTTCTGCAAATTAAGTAAATAAACATGGATATAAATAGCAGAAATTTAATGAAAAATGAGCAGAAAAATTAGGCACAAAATCAAATATCCAAAAAATGTATAATTACCTCATGGGAGCCATAGCCAGGACCACCACCTCTTCTTGAAGGCTTTCCCTCACTTACAACAGACGAGCCATCAGCATCCTTAACAACATGTGTTGATCCTCGACAGCCAACATGTCTATGGGTGCCTGCATAAAATCAAGCACTCAAGTCATCTCATTCCAGTTTCGCATGCTCATGCGTACACACAAACTGGAGTGTGCAAGACAGAGCGAGAGAGAACGGCAGGAGCAACCTCTATGATTAACATAGTTCAAAAACAAAAGAATTGTAAATTATCTACAAAACAGATACCAGTATGTTCACACAAACATAGAAAAATTCAATTGACATCCAAAGATACTGAAGTTTCATAAACAAAAAACTTACCATTGTCTAAAGAAGAATGGCTGCCACGTCCACTCCCAACAGTTTTAACTTCTCCACTCCTCAAATTTGACTGTTCAGTTTTCACATCTCCGAGACTCCCTGGAAAATAATATTCAAAAAGAACAGAATAAACTGAAACTGCTCCGAGATAAAATACATCACATAGTACTTCTTGGTTTACTAAATGCAAAACTTCAGTCTTTTTAGCCTACACATGTCCCAGTATTTGTAATATGCCAAAGCAGTAACCAATCAATTCTGTTTTTTAATCACAAAGCAATCTACCTAGGATAACAGACTTATGGAAATAATTTTCGTACCTTCTGAAGAATCTACTGCTGTAAGTGAAGGTTGAGAAGCAGATGAAGACAAGGACTCATCACTTGCATATGATCCATCTGAACGGCGAACAGTCCAAACACCACGATCCGGTCGGTCCTTATTTCTGGTACGTCTTTCCTGTTTCTCACTATGCAAATCATTCAGAACAATCTTCTCATCAGGAACTCCATTTACATCCTTCAACGCCAATGGTACATGCGGTGGTCGAGGAGGTCGTTTGTCCTTTTCTATATTTGAATTTTGGATATGTTGTTCAGACTGGAAACCAGAAAATTGACTTTGATGAGCATCCTTATTTAGAAGTATGCTTCTGATCATTCTTCCACTGCTTTCACGTCGCTGGCTCCGCTTTGAAGCAGGTGAACCAAGTATAGTTTTGACTGTAGTCATTGCACTCTGCTGCTGTGACATGTTGCCAGGCACCTGCACAGGTATAAGTAATTGTTAACTGATCAGAAGTTGCACAGCCTAGAAATGGATGAATTCACAAGCATGCAAACGATCACCATGGAAAAAACCTTTCCACTGAAACACAGCCCACCAGATTTCAATATATATAAAATTACCCGTTACCCACACTTCTACCTAAATTTTAGACTGTCCTAAAGATTTCAAAACTGACAACAGTTTGGGATTTGTATCATTAAGGTATTAACTGGTATAGTCAACTAAATCAGATACTGGAAATTTTAGACCAGATTTTGACCACGATATCCATCGGAACAAGAAAGTAGGCCCGCTTTAAGCACCCTGTCAGATGAAGAGTTAGCCTGAAGACCAAATGGAAATGAATACAAGGAAGAAAGGCTCACAAGAGAAATATCTCGTTCTTCCCCTTTCAGAAGCAGGATTTTCTTTTTTCCAGATTTGGTGTTACCAGAAATTCCTGATATAAAAGCATTAAAGGTTAACGAGACTTAAAAAATAAAGCCAGATCGAGAATATAAAAAACAGAGGAAAAACTAAATATTCACACTACACAAAAACAACAATCATTTTAAGAAGTATGATGGTCTTAAAGAGTGTCAGCACAAAATTTGCATATTTTCTTCTTCAATAATAAATCCAAAACAAAATATTTTGCTTCATGCAAACCAGATCAAGTAAACTATAACAGAAAACTAAGACAAGCAGTAAAAGACCACATAAATTAAAAATAATCCAAAATTCGAGCACCATCATCAAGCAACTAATATGCAATTCAAGTGAGAAAGCCTAAATCTTCACATGTATGTATAAATAATAACAATGTTCAAAAAAAACAAAAGAAAGAAGAATCACAACATTAGTGAACATTTCAAATTTAGTGCCTTGGCCATACCACTTTCCTCCAGTACACTACTTCCAGTTGCAGAAGCTGAAGTGACAAGTTTATCAAGACCCTGCTGATCATCTTGCTTGCGAACCACAATGTAATTCGACTTGTCGTTGCCACTTGAGTGTTTTGCAGAGTCCCTTAAAACATACTGTCCACACGACAGAGAAATTTTATCAATAAACCAGATAATTTTTGACATCCCATCAGGTCAGAAAACGGAAAGAGAATCAAAGGATCAAACCACGGACCCCATAACTCCAAGCTGGACAAGACAACAGCATGTATCTTACTCCTGCCTTTTGGACTTAGCAAACATATTTGAGCATCAACCAATGAAAAGACTAAATTACATTACAAGAATAATATTTAAAGTTTATTCCAAGTTAAACATGCCACAAAGCATGACAAACACCAGGGTATCATAATTTCTGTCGTGAACCAGAGTACTACTTCATGCTTTTCTTATTTTTAGTTTGTTATGGTTGTAAACAAGCCAATTTCATCCACTCAGAAGGAGCTCAAGCTCAGCCTGAGGAAAGACTTGTTGGTCAAGCTTATCTTCAAGTTTCAACTTAAACTTAAAAAAAGGGTACAGAATGCTTAAGTTTTAACCTCAACTCATGCTGGGAAAATTATGTCTTAAGTTTAGACTTCTAGGTCTAATATCCAAATTAATAAATGCTTAAAAAAGAAAAACGTAAAGCAAGTATATAAAGATTAGATTTCCAGTGGTTTCCTTGCATATGGACAAAGGATTACCAAAAATAGTTACCAACCAATATTAATTAGATTTGTTTTAATAAGAAACTGAGCATACTCATAGCTAAAAAAGGATCTACAAAGCAGTGAACAAGCTGCTCACAGTAAGGCTACACATGTATAAGTCAATTATTGAGCTCAGCACATTCTAAGGGTCCTAAAATCAGCATAAACAGCAACATTAAAGCCATAAATCAAGTCACTACCACCTCCAATTAATGAACAACAAATGTAAGATAAGACGTAGATGACAGAAAGCACAACTAGAGACAAACAATCATTTATTGAGCCTAACAGAATCAAGCAGCATTATGCCCAAAAGTCACTAACGAAAGTTATGTGCATAGCATTATGATAAGTCCCCTATCAACAAGGTCTATCAATACAAGGGGCACAAGGGCAGAAGGGTGTGAGACGTGTGAAGCAACACTAAAGGTGCTCTCTAAAAGTTGTTACGCCAGTAGGATTCAGTTGGAGGAAATACACATGGCAGTAGAGTACGTGGAAGGAATATGGGTAAAGGGCATTAGCATATTAAGGCAGTTAGAATAAGAATTGGATATACTGATTTTTCTAAAAGAGTTGCCAATGGAAGCCCCTAGCTCCTCGAATTGCTAGGACTTTCTTTCCTTGTTATTTTGTTTGTGTTGAGAGTGATTGGGGATTGACAGATCTCTTGTAATCTTCAATTATTTTATCAAAAGTGTTGGTTTACAGTTTGTTTCCTGACTTTCTGGGTACTCTGTGTGTGATTTTCTTGATTGCTTTTGTTGGGGTCCCATCAATTTGGTATCAGAGCCAGCATTTGGGTAATGGTAAAAGCAAAAATGGAGCAAAGAGTTAACGGAATTGAGAAGGAGATGGGTAACATGAAAGAAGAAATGGGTAGCATCAAGGAGTACCTCCTTGAGCTACGGGAATGGACGAGAAGTAGAGATGAGAAGGACGAAAGTAAGAACACGGAAAAAGGAGATGAGACACCGAAAGGATCTAATAACCTTGATCGATTGAAGGGAAACGAAAATATCAAAGAGGACCGTAAAGGGAAAAAACTGGAACTACCTGTGTTCAATGGCGAAAATCCTCTAGGGTGGACTTTTAGAGCCGGAAGATATTTCTAGATGAACAAATTCCAAGAAGAGGAGAAGGTGGATGCAGCGACTGTTTGCATGGAGGGACGTGCGTTGAACTGGTATCAGTGGGTTGATACCCGAGCACCGATACTCTCGTGGAGCTTGTTCAAGACAGTGCTAGTCGAACGCTTCAGGCCTTCGCACCATGGGACAGCCTACGAGGCTCTGGTAGCTCTAAAACGAACAGGGACTGTGACTGAGTTTAGGGAACAATTTGAGGCACTGTCAACTCCTTTGCGTGAGGTTGGAGAAGACCTCCTCATGGGTATTTTTTCAAATGGGTTGAAGGAGGAATTGCGGGCTGATTTGAGATTGTGCAGGCCCAAAACATTAATGCAATTAATTGAGCAGGCCCATTGTATTGAAGAAAGAAATTGGGTCTTAGAAAAGACCCGACCCAAAATTAATAGAACTTACCCATCCCAAACGCATAACCAGACCAACCAGACCCAAAAATCAGACTTCTACCACCGAGTTTCGTCAAATCCAGATTTAAGCCACAGCCACCAAAATGGGTGGAACACCGCGACGAAAAACGCAGAAACCTTATGGGGGTGAGATTGCAAAATCGAAGCTGGGAAAGGGGGGGAAAACCCGTGGAAGGGGGACCCACACCATTCAGAAATGATGGATTTCGTCGACTAACAAAGGCCGACATCCAGTATAAACGTGAGAGAGGATTGTGTTTTCGTTGTGATGAGAAGTTTGGCCCTAACCATGGCTGTAAAAACAAGTCTCTACAGGTTTTGTTATTGTGGGAAGAAGAAGAAGATCTAGAAAAAGAAGAGGTAAAGCAGGAGGTTGACGATGAACCCACCTCAGAAGGTAATCCGCTTGCTCTGTCTATGAACTCCATCGTGGGGATGACCTCAGACAAGACTCTTAAGCTCAGAGGATTATTGGGAACAGAGGAGGTAATTGTGCTTGTTGACAGTGGGGCTTCCCACAATTTTATTTCACATGATTTGGTACACAGGTTGGGTTTGAGTGCGGAGAAGGGGAAGGCTTTTGGAGTCATGGTGGGAAACGATTTCACGATTAAGGGAGAGGGAATTTGCAGAAAATTTGCGTTGAAGATACAGGGGATAGAGATACAACAAGATTTTTTTCCTTTTGAATTAGGTGGAGCTGATGTTGTATTGGGGGTTGCGTGGCTGAGCACTCTCGGAGACGTGTGTGCTAACTGGAAAAGCCTGACTATGGCATTCGCCCGAGAAGGAAGGAAGGTCACATTAAGGGGAGATCCTTCGTTAGTAAAAACCGTGGTATCACTCCAAGCCATGCTGAAATCTGTACAAAACACAGGAGCTAGATATGTAGTTGAGTTCTGTGCCATTGAGAGCAAAGATGTTACAGAAGTGGAACAGATGGACCCGGGAGCCTTGGAAGTGGTGGAAGAATTCAGCCAAGTCTTTAACCCACCTACCAAACTACCTCCCAAAAGACCCACAGACCATGCCATAATCCTCCAGGAGGGGGCCAGACCCCCTAACATACGTCCCTATAAATATCCTTATATCCAGAAAAATAAAATCGAGAGATTAGTTAGGGAGATGTTGATCGCAGGATTAATACAGCCCAGTACCAGTCCTTTTTCTAGTCCTAATTTGCTAGTGAAGAAGAAAGACGGGAGCTGGCGCTTTTGTGTGGACTACCGTGCCTTGAACAACCTCACGATCCCGGATAAGTGTCCCATTCCCTCAATCGAAGAATTATAGGATGAACTGGCGGGAGCTACAATTTTTACTAAATTGGATCTAAAATCCGGGTACTATCAGATCAAAGTCAAGGAAGAAGACATAGCTAAGACAGCTTTTCGGACTCATGAGGGGCACTATGAGTTCCTGGTAATGCCTTTCGGATTGACGAACGCGCCTTCTACTTTTCAGGCCTTAATGAACAGCATCTTCAAGCCAGTTTTAAGAAAGTTTGTCCTAGTTTTCTTTGACAATATACTTATTTACAGTCCAGATTTGCACTCCCATTTGGAACACCTCCGTCAAGTTTTTCAGATTCTCAAGGTAAATGAGTTAGTTGTCAACAGCAAAAAGTGTTTATTTGCGCAACCGAAACTTGAATACTTAGGCCATCTGATCTTAGCAAAAGGGGTGGAAGCTGAACCGCAGAAGATTGATTTGATGTTTTCTTGGCCAGCACCCCGCACTATAAAAGGGTTGAGGGGATTCTTGGGACTAGCGGGCTACTACCGTCGTTTTGTCAAGGGGTATGGACTAATTGCACAACCATTAACACAACTTCTTCGGAAGGATTCTTTCACATGGACTGAAACTACTCAAAAGGCATTTGACGCCCTCAAAACAGCAATGACAACAATTCTGGTGCTCGCTATTCCTGATTTCGACTTACCATTCGAAGTACATACCGATGCCTCAGGGCAAGGAATGGGGGCTATTTTAGTCCAGAAATCACGCCCAATTGCCTTCCTAGTAAGGCTTTTTCTTGTCAAGCAAAACAGAAATCGGTGTATGAACGAGAAATCATGGCAATAGTATTCGCTGTTCACAAATGGAGTCACTATCTCATTGGGTGTAAGTTCATTGTTAGGACGGATCAGCGTAGCCTTCAATTTTTAACGGACCAGCGGGTAAAAACTCCAGAACAGCAGAAGTGGATTTCAAAACTTATGGGGTTTTCTTTCGAAATTCACTACCAACCAGGATCATCCAATCAAGTGGCAGATGCATCATCCCGAAAAGAGGAGGTAAGTGAGCTAACTGCGATATCCGTGACCCATTTTTCAGACTTTGATGAATTAGCTTTTGAAGCTCAACAGGAACCGAAGCTGCAACTCATTATGCAGGATCTGTTGTTCGACCCTACCAGCAGACCCCACTACCAACTCCGAAAAGGCTGCCTACTTTACAAAAACAGGATTGTTCTTCCAAAAAGTTCCAAGTTCATTCCCAAGTTGCTTGAGGAGTTCCATGGTAGCCCAAGTGGCGGGCATTCGGGGTTCTTTCGCACGTATAAAAGAGTGGCCAGCCTTGTTTTTTGGGAAGGGATCAAGAGGGATGTCCAAGAATTTGTGAAGCGATGCACTGTTTGTCAACTCAATAAACACTCAGCCCTTAAACCAGCCGGCCTTCTCCAGGCCCTACCCATTCCCACTCAAGTTTTTGAGGATATTAGCATGGATTTCATTGGAGGGCTACCTAAGTCTTGGGGCCACGATACCATTCTAGTAGTAGTCAATAGACTCACCAAATATGGTCACTTCATCCTTCTATGCCATCCCTACAATGCCAAAGAGGTGGCAGCCCTTTTTGTATCAGAAATTGTAAGGCTCCATGGTTTCCCTAAGTCGATTGAGACAGGATCTTTATTAGCCAATTCTGGCAAGAACTCTTCAAGGCATCAGGTATTACACTGAAATTCAGTTCCACCTACCACCCACAAACAGATGGTCAAACAGAGGTAGTCAATAGATGTGTAGAGACCTACTTGCGGTGTTTTTGTAGCTCCAAACCCAAGCATTGGTCCCGTTGGCTTTCGTGGGCAGAATTTTGGTACAATACAACATACCACAGTTCCACTCGGATGACCCCTTTCAAGGCTCTCTACGGCAGGGATCCTCCTACTCTACTCAAGTTCACCGATTGTTCGTCTGCGGTAGAAGCAGTGAATCAACAGATGTCCGAGCGTAACTCCATATTGGAAGAGCTTAAACAGAATTTATCCGTTGCTCAAGGGCACATGAAAGAGAATGTGGATCTACACCGCCGAGATGTAACTTTTCAGCTGGGGGATCATGTGTTTCTGAAACTCCAGCCTTATAGATTTAAATCCTTGGCCACAAAACACAATGAGAAACTAAGCCCTCGTTTTTATGGTCCTTTTCCAGTCATAGAACGAATTGGACAGGTTGCATATTGACTGAATTTGCCTTCAACTGCTCGCATACACCCAGTTTTCCATGTGTCTCAGCTCAAGGGTCGCCTACACAGCTCCGTTCCAATCCAGCCTCTTCCTCAATGCCTCACCAAAGATTTGGAACTCATGGTCCAGCCAGAATCAGTTTTAGCAGTCCGCTCTTTATTGGATGGTACTAAAGAGGTGCTTATAAAATGGCAGACCCTACCCTCGTTTGAAGCCACCTGGGAAGCATATGACCTCATCAATCAACAATTTCCTCTCTTCCACCTTGAGGACAAGGTGGTTCTCCAAGGAGGGGGTATTGATAAGCCCCCTATCAACAAGGTCTATCAATACAAGGGGCACAAGGGCAGAAGGGTGTGAGACGTGTGAAGCAACACTAAAGGTGCTCTCTAAAAGTTGTTAAGTGAGGTATAAGATCCCCTATCAACAAGGTCTATCAATACAAGGGGCACAAGGGCAGAAGGGTGTGAGACGTGTGAAGCAACACTAAAGGTGCTCTCTAAAAGTTGTTACGCCAGTAGGATTCGTTGGAGGAAATACACATGGCAGTAGAGTACGTGGAAGGAATATGGGTAAGGGCATTAGCATATTAAGGCAGTTAATAAGAATTGATATTACGATTTTCTAAAAGAGTTGCCAATGGAAGCCCCTAGCTCCTCGAATTGCAGGACTTTCTTTCCTTGTTATTTTGTTTGTGTTGAAGTGAGGGGGATTGACAGATCTCTTGTAATCTTCAATTATTTTATCAAGTGTTGTTTCAGTTTTGTTCCTGACTTTCTGGGTACTCTTTGTGTGTATTTTCTTGATTGCTTTTGTTGGGGTCCCATCAATTTGGTATCAGAGCCAGCATTTGGGTATGGTAAAGCAAAAATGGAGCAAAGAGTTAACGGAATGAGAAGGAGATGGTAACATGAAAGAGAAATGGGTAGCATCAAGGAGTACCTCCTTGAGCTACGGGAATGGACGAGAAGTAGAGATGAAGGACGAAAGTAGAACACGGAAAAAGGAGATGAGACACCGAAAGGATCTAATAACCTTGATCGATTGAAGGGAAACGAAAATATCAAAGAGGACCGTAAAGGGAAAAAACTGGAACTACCTGTGTTCAATGGCGAAAATCCTAGGGTGGACTTTAGAGCCGGAAGATATTCTAATGAACAAATTCCAAGAAAGGAGAAGGTGGATGCAGCGACTGTTTGCATGAGGACGTGCGTTGAACTGGTATCAGTGGGTTGATACCCGAGCACCGATACTCTCGTGGAGCTTGTTCAAGACAGTGCTAGTCGAACGCTTCAGGCCTTCGCACCATGGGACAGCCTACGAGGCTCTGGTAGCTCTAAAACGAACAGGGACTGTGACTGAGTTTAGGACACATTTGAGGCACTGTCAACTCCTTTGCGTGAGGTTGGAGAGACCTCCTCATGGGTATTTTTCAAATGTTGAAGGAGGAATTGCGGGCTGATTTGAGATTGTGCAGGCCCAAAACATTAATGCAATTATTGAGCAGGCCCATTGTATTGAAGAAAGAATTGGGTCTTAGAAAAGACCCGACCCAAAATTAATAGAACTTCCCATCCCAAACGCATAACCAGACCAACCAGACCCAAAATCAGACTCTACCACCGAGTTTCGTCAAATCCAGATTTAGCCACAGCCACCAAAATGGTGGAACACCCGCGACGAAAAACGCAGAAACCTTATGGGGTGATATGCAAAATCGAAGCTGGGAAAGGGGGGGAAAACCCGTGGAAGGGGGACCCACACCATTCAGAAATGATGGATTTCGTCGACTAACAAGGCCGACATCCATATAACGTGAGAGAGGTTGTGTTTTTCGTTGTGATGAGAAGTTTGGCCCTAACCATGGCTGTAAAAACAAGTCTCTACAGGTTTTGTTATTGTGGAAGAAGAAGAAGATCTAGAAAAGAAGAGGTAAAGCAGGAGGTTGACGATGAACCCACCTCAGAAGGTAATCCCTTGCTCTGTCTATGAACTCCATCGTGGGGATGACCTCAGACAAGACTCTAAGCTCAGAGGATATTGGGAACAGAGGAGGTATTGTGCTTGTTGACAGTGGTTCCCACAATTTTATTTCACATGATTGGTACACGGTTGGTTTGAGTGCGGAGAAGGGGAAGGCTTTTGGAGTCATGGTGGGAAACGATTTCACGATTAAGGAGAGGAATTTGCAGAAAATTTGCGTTGAAGATACAGGGATAGAGATACAACAAGATTTTTTTCCTTTGAATTAGGTGGAGCTGATGTTGTATTGGGGTTGCGTGGCTGAGCACTCTCGGAGACGTGTGTGCTAACTGGAAAAGCCTACTATGCATTCGCCCAGAAGGAGGAAGGCACATTAAGGGAGATCCTTCGTTAGTAAAAACCGTGGTATCACTCCAAGCCATGCTGAAATCTGTACAAACACAGGAGCTAGATATGTAGTTGAGTTCTGTGCCATTGAGAGCAAAGATGTTACAGAAGTGGAACAGATGGACCCGGAGCCTTGGAAGTGGTGGAAGAATTCAGCCAATCTTTAACCCACCTACCAACTACCTCCAAAAGACCCACAGACCATGCCATAATCCTCCAGGAGGGGGCCAGACCCCCTAACATACGTCCTACTAAATATCCTTATTCCAGAAAAATAAAATCGGAGATTAGTTTAGGGAGATTATCGCGGATTAATACAGCCCAGTACCAGTCCTTTTTCTAGTCCTATTTGCTAGTGAAGAAGAAAGACGGGAGCTGGCGCTTTTGTGTGGACTACCGTGCCTTGAACAACCTCACGATCCCGGATATGTCCCATTCCCTCAATCGAAGAATTATAGGATGAACTGCGGGAGCTACAATTTTTACTAAATTGGATCAAAATCCGGGTACTATCAGATCAAAGTCAAGGAAAGAGAATAGCTAAACAGCTTTTCGGACTCATGAGGGGCACTATGAGTTCCTGGAGCCTTCTCATATTAATTAGATTTGTTTTAATAAGAAACTGAGCATACTCATAGCTAAAAAAGGATCTACAAAGCAGTGAACAAGCTGCTCACAGTAAGGCTACACATTTATAAGTCAATTATTGAGCTCAGCACATTCTAAGGGTCCTAAAATCAGCATAAACAGCAACATTAAAGCCATAAATCTAGTCACTACCACCTCCAATTAATGAACAACAAATGTAAGATAAGACGTAGATGACAGAAAGCACAACTAGAGACAAACAATCATTTATTGAGCCTAACAGAATCAAGCAGCATTATGCCCAAAAGTCACTAACGAAAGTTATGTGCATAGCGTTATATCTGTGCTTGACTCATTTAAGGCAAGAGAAAGTTTAAACCAGCCTTTCAACAAATCAATTACAAGCTAAACACGAGCAACTTACAATTTTTGGTAGCTCAGGGGTGAATTTCTCCCTAATTTGTATGATTCAGTGCATAGCTATCTAAAAGTTCCAAAGATAAAGAATCTCAAATATTATCACATAGCCATAGCATGAATGTAATAACAAACTTACTATAGCATATATCTCAAAGCAATGTGAGAGAACAGTTATTTACCATTGTGGACTGCATTCAACATTGTAACTGTTATTTAAAATAGAAAAGATAATGCTTACACACAAACACAAATAAGTTCACTTTCATAAAAGAAAGTAATTTGGAAACATAAATACCATTGTGGTGGAACTCCTTTTCTTTTCAAAACCACGTTTGGATGAACCTGAACCTGGACTTCTGCTTGATGATCCACCAGCTCTTCTGCTCAGTTTTCCATTGGACAATAATCTCTGTCACCGACAAAAGAAAAATAAAATTACACAGGTTATACAAAGTAACAAAAGTAGATTGTGCGGTTAAGACCTTGGGTTCCAACTAAGAGGTCAACACCACAAAAGAGAGAGAGAGAGAGAGAGAGAGAGGGTGGGGGTAGAGGAGTGGAAAGAAAAGGTGGCAACAAAAATACAAACAAAAACTAGTAAACAACCAAAAAAGCACCAGACCAGGAAAGAAATCTTAGTTTGGTAACACAACACACTTGTGTTATATTTGATGCAGTAGCATGAAAATGCCGATCATGTTTAATTTCTTTAGACTGATTGAAACTCTTCCTCTACTTCAAAATAGCAACAATACCCGAGGTGCAGCCTTAGCAGCCCTTTTCTGTCGTACAAAATCCATCAAAGGTGTAACTATTGGAGCTTCTTTTGCTGCACCTGCAAAAGGCAAGACATAATATCAATTAACTTACACTAAATGGCATTCTCATTCTAATTATACTGCAAATTTCTTCTTTTTCTTCTTCTTTTTCTTTTTATTTCTATGACAAAGTTGCTACATGCATATAACTAGGATCTATGTGACTCACCAGCTCGTTCAGCTTCTTTTCTCTCCAATTGTATTTCTGCACTAGGAAGATTCTCAACAGGCTTCGCAATAAATTCAAGGAACTCCAAATACTCAGGATCTAGATGTTCACCAAGAAATACTTATATTTATATAATAAGGAGAAAGATGGCATAATCAATGCAGCTATTAAGCTTTAATTGCAAAAAAGTTAAGTTATACCCTTAAGTATGGTCCCTTCACGACCATCCTTTTTAGACCATTGCTTTGGAACGCGTTGGGAAGAAGCATACTCAACAATGGCTTTAAACTGAGCACCTGAGATATGAACCAATATTACTAAAAAAATACCACATCTAACATTTGGTCTGATAAAGTTCCTTGCTGGAAGGAGATCAATGATAAGAAACAAAAATAAAAAATAACACAAGAAGCCCTTGATTAAGCTCTTCAAGCATACAGGAGATTAAAGACTTTCCAAGCTATTAATATATGGAGTGACCTTCATTCTTATATGAACTAAATACATTTCTTGAATACAAAGAAAATCATAACACTTCTAGGTATACAGTAGAGCCTAATCAATCTCTACAAAAATTTTGACAATAATTACCTTTCTCATTAACAAAGACATGCCCATTAAATAAGTCAGCAAACTCAAGAACGTATTCGGGCCTCTTGAAGTCAATGTAGGCTCTAGAGCAAGATTGGTGCTTCTGACTGCAAAATAATTTTTAGAAACATAGTATCATTCACTACTCAGAGAACCTGTATACGACTATGAAGTTAACCAAATAAAAAAAAAAAACATAATAATCCACATGAAAGAGTATACTCTACAAAATGCTCCCATGAAAGCATACATCGTAGTCCAAACAAGGAACAGTGACATAATTTGATTCTTTTAGCAATGAAATGATGAGAGATGGGGAAAAATATAAAAGTGATGTTCAGTCATTAAAACAGCTAAAAAGCATATCAATCACATAAAGAAAAACGAAGCTTCCCAAGACCAGTGAGTAACCAATCACGTTACAATCAAATACATAAAATGTACGAGGGCATAAAACACCCTAAATTAAAGAAAAGTTGGTCTCCACCTTTTCTATAGAAACAAATATACTTAGTTAAAAGTTACAAGTACATAAAATAGATAAGTCTAATTCACTCCCACCAATAGTGCATCCCAACAACAAAGTGATAAAATGGCTTATCCCAATTAAGGCACATTTGACAGCTATGTAATCACTCCAAATATAATTACAAAATCAACTTTATAATTTAAAGGTAAATTTATTATCTCCAAGCACATGGCATCACCAAACATAAAAGCCAACAGATAAAGCAATAGGGTATAAATGAATAATATAACAAATTTCCTCACATTAATTGATAATCCTGTGTTTCCCACTTATCATCTCAAACCTATCATTATACACTTGTTAATAAAGGCCTATTCCCCTTTGAGCAGATAGTTTCAATCAGCGCCATCTGTGCACTCCTCCAGCTAGTTTTACTGGACGATGCATGATATACCTTAAAGACAGCAATATCCTTACACCCTGAAGTTATAAAGCCAACCAATCAAGCAAATAGGGTATAAATGAGTAATACAACAGATTTCCTCACATTAATTGATATTCCTTCCGAAAGATCAGCCAATCTCCTGTCTTACCAACTTATCATATCAAACCTATCATTATACACTTGTTAATAAAGGCCTAACCCATTTGTGCGGCTGGCTTCGATAGTGCCATCTGTTCACTCCTCCAGCTAATATTACTGGATGACGCATGCTATACCTTAGAGACAGCAATATCCTTACACCCTGAAGTTATAAACAACTTTAACCCATTTTTTAACACTATAACCACCTTTTAACATCCCAATTCCTGTACTCGACAAAAACAAATTCCACAACACCCTCCTAGAACTAGGCCAATTGAACTCGAGCTTCCACAACCCACATGCATTCACCCTCCTACAGTCCCCACAGACTAAATAACACAGAAAGCTAATAATCAACCAAAAATGTCTCCAAACAAAAGAAGTACAAAAATATGTGAAGCGCATCCACTCAATCCCGTACAAGCCTAAACTTATCTGTATTTGCATGTTCCCGCTCTGGCACATAACATGAAAATAATCAACTAAATTAAAATAAAACCATCAACAAGTATAACTCAAAACTATACAATATGCCATTAGCTGAAGCAAAAAACAAGCACCAACAAGCTTTCCAATTAGCTAAACCACAAAAAATCAGCAACAAACCCAAAATTCACCAAAAACCCCAAAAATCTAGCGCGAAATTCAACGAAATATCACAAAACAAAAGAAACCCTAACCTGGTCTTCCCTTGCCGAAACGACACCCAGTTATAAAGTCCAGCAAACACTCCATCGATTTGTTCAATAAACATGGCTTGCGTAATCGCAGGCGGCAAGCTTCGAACCACCACCTTGGTTCGATCCAACGGCCCCTTCATTACAAACCCTTCTTTAAAAACCCTAAAAATCAACAAACCCTACACTATGTTGCCTAATTTCCGTTTGGCTTCAAAAATTTGTATGAACAGACGAAAATCGGGGTGAAATTACATGGCGGTTCAGGCTTTAATGCACCGATCGGCTGAAATTTCGACCCCTGATTTTGAATTTGGAAAGTAAAGGGTCCATGCAATTCAAAGAAAGAGAAAAGAAACAAAAAATGTAGAGTGAGTGATGTAAGTAAGGGTAAATGAAGATTGCATTGTGTGATTTTTTATATATAAATATTATTTTCTTTTTGGAAAATTAACTGTTCTCTTTAAAGTTTGCACTTTTATATTTTACAGTGGGAGAAATTGGCTGAAAAATAACCCTTATTTTTTTTTTTTTTTTGAATTTTATATTTTTTTTTATTTTATTTTTTTATAATTTTTATATTATTTAGTATGTTTTTTTTATTTTTTTTTATATTTTTTTTTGGTTAGTTTTTGGTTATTTTATATTTATTTTTTTGTTTTTTTTTTTTAAATTTTGTGTATTTTTTTTAATTTTTTTTATTTTTTCTTTTTTTTTTATTATTTTAATTTTTTTTTTTTTTTTTATTTTTTTTTTTTTTTTTTTTTTTCCTTTTTTTTTTGATTTTGTTTTAATATTTTTTTTATTTTATATTTTTTTTTTTTTTGTTTTTTTTCTCTTCTTTTTTTTCTTTTTCTTTCCATTTTCTTTTTTTTTCTTTTTTTTTTTTGTTTTTTTTACTTTTTTTTATTGTCTTCGTTTTTTTTTTTTTTTTTTATTTTGTTTTTCTTTTTCTGTCTTTTTTGGTCATTTTTTGCCTTTTTTTTTTTTTTCTTTTTTGGCCATTTCTTGCCTTTTCCTTTTTTATTTTTGGTTTATTTTGTTTGATATTTTTTCTTTTTTGTTTTTCTTTTTATTTTTGTTTTTTTTTTTTTTTTTTTTTTTTTATTTTTTTTTTTTTTGTCTTTGGTTTTATTTTTTTGTTATGTTTTTTTTATTTTTTTTTTTTTTTTTTTTTTTATATTTTTTTTAGTTTTTTTTTATTTTTATTTTTTTTTTTATTTTTTTTAATTTTTATTATTTTATAGGGTAATATTTCTGGAATAGTGTGCCAAACATTATTTGGAGAATAGGATCCAGAATAGGGATAAAAATATTAAGCCAAACATGCAGATTAATATCGCATACAACCATTAATTGTCTGGAAGTGATGAAAATACCCTTGTAATACAACCTAATATCAAGTTATCAACAATGAGATAGATAAGAGGTAGACTCAACTCAACGCAGATTAAATGAGCTTTTACGTAGCAAGATAGTATATAATACCCTTCACAATATCAAATGCATTAGACAAACCAACAATTGATATGTTAGAATAATATATCGTAATTGAGTCGATTAGATACATGTTGATGAATAAAATTAAATGAAGTCTGATCGCAGAGGAGGGTTATTTTTGTCACTTTATATATGAGTGGTTGGATTGATACTTTAAGCTACACAAAATCCTAGTTAGTAAATACGTGTTTTATATGCGAATTATATGGTTGGATGTATAATTCGCGTATAAACGTATTTTATAAGGGGTCGCCGAATTATTCATGTATAATTGAACCAGTTTGTATAATTCACGAATTATTTGCGAATTTTTGAAAAAAAAAATTAATTGAACACCCCAAAACGACATCGTTTTGGGGGTGGGTTTGATTCAAATTACTCAAACTCTCTTTTCTCATCTTCATCCTTGGTTCTACGTATCTGGCAGTTCTCTTCCCTTTGAAGTCTTTGGCAGTTCAGCTCTTCGTCAAATCTTCTTTTCTAGCTTTCTTCATCTCTTAAATCTTAATCTCTTCTTCTCTTCTCTTTAGTCTTTCTTTCTTTTTAACTCTCTTTTCCAAGCTTCAAGCCCAAGAGTAAGACTTCAAGGTACACACTTCTTCTCTTTTCTTTAAATCTCTTATGTTGGTTGATTGCTTGTATTTGTGTTGGTGTGTGAGTAGTAGTAGTAGGGGGGGCTAATGGATTGATGGATTTGTTATATTGGTGGATTGATGGATTTGTTTGAAACATGTTTGATGAAATGCTTGTGAGTGTGAAATTACTACAACACATTGCAAAGAGTGAAACTGAAACTGAAACTGAAAAAGAAGAAGAAGAGAAATTTCAAATTAAGTAATTAACTTGAAATGCTCTAACCTGGATTTTATGATTTTTTAGCAAAGGATGATCAAAAGCTAGTTGTTTATTGATGTTGACACAGCTTCAGTCTAGTAAATGATAAAAATTAGTCTAAATCTTAGATCAAACTAATTTTATAAAACTTAAATCTCGTAATGAGGAATTCAATTATAGGAATTGGAATTATGTTAATATCTAGCTATAGTAGAAGTGACTAAATACCTTGATACTTTTAACATAGGGCTTGTTCAATATCTAGAGTTTTTCATCTAACCGTTTCATAGCAGACTCAAATGAAAGCCTAGTTCTAGTAGAAGGCTCATAAAACAGAGTAGCCATTAAGTAACCCTTAAGTATTTGGCTTCCAGTTGAATTCTTCTCAATCTTGTCCATTTCACGTGCAACATCAAATATAGCACTAAGAGTATCCCTATCAAACTGTTGAGCTTCAATCACATTCACATCACTGAGTTGAAATTTCTTTCCTATGGTAAATGAAGGTTTATTGTAATGCTTTCTCTCTCTAGCTAGCATACTCGTAAAATAAACAGTAAAACTCACTAAAATCTATATATTAAGAAAATATACATGTAGATGAGTATAAAATAATGGGTCTATAACTAATTTTTCTTTATATACAAAATTGTACGTTAACAAAATTACTTACAAATAAACTCGACAGTGTTGCCAGATCCTTCCGATTCTTGATGCTCCATTCGACTGCATCTCTCCTACTGTCTGCAAAAACATTAAAAACAACGGGGTGAGCACTAATTGCTCAGTAAGTAAACCCGCTATGCTACTCTTCTCTCTCTAGCTAGTTCTCTTTAGATTTTCATCAAACACTTCATGTGCACATGCAACTACCATGTTTGCTACACTTCCAAAGCTCTCTAATTCCACCAAATTGTGAGCCAAAAACTCAATAATTATAGCATCAAACCTGTCCATTTTCAACATTTCTCTACACTTAAAAAATTTCATCACTAATTCTTCCATAACTTCACCAAATCATCACATAACCATACACTACTTCTCATGACTGGAAATTACACATCATTAAACATAAAAAATAGCTAATAATTCTCTCATATCATCGCGTCCAAACATGCAAACATGCAATAATTCATTCAACACAAGTCTTGCTCAAATTAAGGTTCAAACTAGGTTTACTTACCTTGAATATGTGAGATCACTTCCCTTTTGCTCTAAATCTCTTCCTTTTGGACCTAGATCATATAAAAACCATAAGAATTTAAAACTTTAAAGTTTATCACACTCCTTTTGCTAGAATCTTACCTTAGGATGCTTTAGGATTGAAAATCTATGAAAATCCAAGCCAAATCTTATGATTTCCCTTTGAATTTTAGTGAAGAAAATTGAGAGAAAATGGGGAGAATATGGCATGAACAAGGGCTGCATTTTGGTTAGGGTTTCTTCAAATGAAACCTTATATCAAATAATATAAGCACGTATTCCCATTTTGCCTTTGCACTTTCTATGAAATTCCATCAATGTCCCTTAGTCAATTACAATAATTTCCTCTTTTCCATTGCATTCTCCATGTAATTCTACTTCTTTTCACTCCCCACACTTTCAACTAATTAAGAGTTAAATGACCATTTTACCCCTAGTGAAGTTTTAAGGAATTTTTTTCACACTTGTTCAAGATAACTCTAGTAAAATTCAACTAAATGTATTAGGGCATAAATCAAGTTACGTACCTTGATGTGGGCGTTACAATTATTCTCAATTTCAAGTGCTCGGCACTAAACTGATTTTTTTTAAGGAAAACTTTGGGGTTCGCTTCCATTTCATTGATTTCTCATTTAGTAATAACAATCTTGACGGTTTAATATCGGTAGTTGCAGTACAATGATCTGAAGATTTGTAACAAAAACTTGAATGATTGAATGTCAAAGTGTGGTTAAGGTCAAATCTTGATAAGAACCACTAGAGATTCCTAAAGCAGCCATGACTTGATCTCTTGCTTTCTAGCTTCTATGCAGCAGTGTCGGTTATATATGTTGTAAGAGATCTTAATTAAAAGTTAAAACCACCTTAATTTACAGTAACTTCATTTTAACTTATTAGCTAAATATATACTACTTACATTAAATTTAAACAAATTGATTTATGCAAATGCTACTCTTATTTTAAACAAATTGATTCATATCACTACCCTTTTATTTACTTGTGGTTCTCTTTTATGTTCTTGTAAATGCAGACTCAAATCAATATGGTACAAAAAAAGATAAAATTTGAGAGCATGTTGAGGAGCTCCAAGGGAATAAATGGAAATGTAAATTCTGTCAAAAAGTATGTAGTGCCCAGCTTACAAAATTAAAGCATACTTGTTAGGAATTACTGGCCATGATGTTGAGATTTGTATTAAAGTCAATTATGAGACACAAGCAAGTATGTCTAGAAGTGGAAGTAATAAAAAATTAAAAAGTTATGCCGGTTCTTCTATTGCTTTAAACTCTAATGATCATGAGGAGGAAACAGATTCACCACCACTTTCTAAAGGTAGTCAAAGACGTCAAAGTCAAGCATCTTTACTAGAAATGAATAAGAAAAAAGACAAGGAATTTGTTGATAAAATGCTTGCTAAGTGTTTTATAGTGAACAATATTGATTTTAATGTTGTTCAAACCAGTGCTTTTGGAGAATTTGTTAAGGCAATGGCTGAATATGGTGCAGCATACAAGCTTCCATCTTACTCAACTCTTCGAGCTAAGCTAATTCTAGAATCTAGAAAATGTGTTGATGAGTATGTTTCTATGGTGAAGCTTTCTTGGGATACATCTGCATCTGGTTACACTATAATGCCTGATATATGGACTGATATTGGGCACCGATTTTTCATTAATCTTGTGGCATATTCACCTGGCGGTGCAGTTTTTTTAAAATCATTGGATGTTTCCCAAGAAAGAAAAACTGGGATTTATTTGAAAGAAATTGTTGTTTTTATGATTGAATCAATGGGACAAGAACATGTTGTGCAATTCATAACTGATAATGGTAGCAATTTCACATCTGCTGGTGACATACTCATTGGATTGTATCCTCAAATGTATAAGACGAGGTGTGCTACTCATGGAATTCAGCTTCTTTTGAAAGACATAAATGAAGAAGTTAATTGGGTAAAAGTTGCCACAGATGAAGCAAGAATAATAATTATCGTAACGCCCACATTGAGGTACGTAACTTATTTATGCTTTTATGCCATTAGTTTTGCTTATTTCTAGGAGAAAGATTGAAAATCGACATTTGCAAACTTCACCGCGGCAAAGGAATTTTGTCACCATGGTAATGAACTTTTTGCCCAAATTTGTGTCAGAAATTTCAGACTTCGCCGAGGCGAAGAACTCTCTGGATTTTTTTGCCGAGGCAAAGAGCTAGCTGAATTTCTTGAGAAGTTTCTAGAGGAATTTTCCATAAGGGTAAAGTGACCATTCTACCCCTAATTAACAGGAAAATTGGGAAGTGAAATGTAAGAAAATTTCATGGAGAATGCATTGGAGTTGGGGGTGTGTTTGTAAAGAATTAAAGGGCAAGGATGGAATTTCTAAGAAAGTGGAGGGGTCAAATGGGAAAGAATGCTTATTTATATGAGCTATTAAGGGATTAGTTTTGCAAACCCTCACATTCTCTACATCCCATATACCACTTCCACTCTCCATTTCTTTCATCTCTTCATCCAAATTTTTGAAGGAAATTGAGGGCTTTTGGTTGGATTTTTATAAGGATTTGATCCTAAGCATCAAAAAGTAAGGATTCTTACTATAAAAGATTAATTTGTGTTAGTATGGAATTCTTATATAGTTTATGCTTAGGGTTTTAGAGAAAAAACAAGTCCAACAATGGAACTACTCAAGCATAAGGTAAGTAAATCCAACCCAAGTTATGATTTGAGAAATCAAGTGTGTAGAGATTTTACATATGTGTATATGCTTATGATTTTGAGAATTGTTGAGGAAATTGATGAATTATTGATGAGTTTGATGATTATTGATGAGTAGAATTTAGCCATGAGAAGTGGTGTTGGTTGTTTGATGACTCATTGAAGTTTGGTTGAAGTTAGAAAGAGTTGAGTAGAATTTTTGGGAGTGTATTTTTTTGGACAAGTTTAGTAATTGTTTAATGGAGTTTTACTCCAAATATTGGTGGCTTGAGAAAGAGATAGAATTGTAGCCAAATTAGAGTTTGATTATGCATGCAATATGTTTGATGAAATGTCCAAGAGAAGTGTATGCATGAGTTTTATTCATTTATGCCTTGACATAAGTTAATAGATGGTAGAGAGAAACTTATTTTTATGCTACATGGCATCCTTGCATTTAAACATTTGTATTTAGAAAGAATAATGAGCATGAGCCATCTACATACATGCATATACACATGTACTAGAACTTAAAGAATAAAGAGAAAGACAGAAAAGTTATTAAAGAATGCTCTAAAAGAAGAAAAGAACAGGTTGTTGTGATGGGGAACCCATGAGTGACAAGAAGAATTTCCTCGCATGCACGCCGCCTTCAGTGAGCGGCCTAAGAATAAGAAGAAGAATTGGTATAGCCCGTAAGAGTGCATGTGGATGAGGGCTATACCCAAGAAAGAAGAATACACTCACACGGCCAAGGTTCTGAATCCATGCCTCAACCGAGTCCGATCGGCAAAGAATAAGAAGGAATAAGAACAAGAATAAGAAAGAATAAGAATAAGAAAGAATAAGAGAAGAAGAGCAAGAATAGAAAGGAAGAAAGAATAGAAAACAAAAAAGAAAATGTGCACTTCTTGCATTTATACATGTGCATCACACTTATGCATGGCATTATGCCTATTACCATGAGCAGTGAGAATTTAGAAAGAAAGAAAGAAAAAGTATTGAGAATTTAGAAAGAAAGAAAGAGAGAAGAGATATTGAGAAATTAGAAAGAAACAAAGAATAGAGAGATAAGAATAGAGTAATGGAAGGAAAGAAATTAGAATGTGAGCAACGGAGAGAAAATGCTAGTTTAGCGGATTTACTTACTAAGCAATTAGCGCTCACTCCATTGATTTTTTTGTTTTTGCAGGAAATAGGTGAGAAGTGGTCAAATGGACGTCGAGGTGGAGGGAAATGGCACCACTGTCTACTATTTTTTTGAGCTTATGTACATGCAACTTTTATTAATGTAAATAATTTTATATATAAAGTAAAGAAATTTTCGGGCCCATTATCTTTTACTAATATGTTTATGTGTTTTTAATGTATTATATTTTCCAAGTATACTAGCTAGCAAGAGTCATTACAGTTATGTTTATGACATGGTACACAGTTTTTCATGCAGTAATAAAATAGTACACCGAAGATAGACAATTGAGACAACCTTGTGCCACAAAATTCGCTTCAAATTTTTTAATGCTTCAATCTGTGTTGGATTTGGAGAATGAACTTCGAATCTTTGTTGCTTCATCTTAATGGAGGAGTTTTCATTGTTGTAAGACCGAATCAGGTAAAAGTGTCACTGAAATTATTCAAAGTGATTTTTGGGCTAGAAGAAGAGAGGTTATAAAAACTATTGAGCCATTGGTTCGAGTTCTTCGTTTGGTTGATTGTGAGGGATCTACTGCTGGTTACTTATATGAAGTATTGATGAGAGCAAAAGTTGCAATCAAGGAAAGATGTAATAGTAAGGCAAGCAAGTATGAGAGAATTTGGGAATTGTTTGAGAACTGCTAGGTCAATAACATCATTCATCTAATACATGGTGTAGTTGCCTTTCTCAATCCATCTTACTTTTTCTCACAAAATTTTAGAAAGGATAGGGAGATGAAAGATGGCATCAATTTCATTCATGAAAACTTGCTTCTAATAGAAGAAAAGCATCCATGTATGAGAGAGGTTCAGTTGTATCGTAGTAGGCCAGCTACTTTATTTACTGCAATAGCAAAAATGATGTCACAGACAAGTCATCCTGGTATGTTTTTAAAAAAATTTGTATATTTTTTTTATACGTTGCTTCTCTCTTTGTATTTAAGAAAGCTTTTTATGTTATTTGCAGGAATATGGTGGGATTACAATGGGGATGATCTTCCTGTGCTCAAGAAGTATGCCATTCGAATTTTGAGTCAACCTTGTAGCGCTTCATCATGTGAGAGAAATTGGAGTGCTTTTGAAGCTGCTCAAATAAGAAAAAGGAATAGGTTGTCACATGAAATGCTAGACACGCTTGTGTATGTGAGGATGAACATGATGATGATGGATAAGTTCACTTCCACGATGAGTCGCGACTTAGAACCTATAGATCTTGAGAAATTGGGGGAGCTTCCAGACTATGAATATGAAGAAATTCATATGGACGAAGATGCTAATTCTACACCGACGGTTGAGGGTTACATGGATGACTTGATAGATAATGATGATATTTCTTGGTTGAAAAATGCTCTTTTTTGAGTTGTTATTGTTGTTTATGTACTTTGTGAGTTTTTGTTATAAACTATAATTTGAATCTTGATTGTATTATTTGTGTATTTTATTTGTTTGGAACTCTAATTCAACTTTGAATTTTGGTTTTATTATGTGTTTGGTTTGACACTATAATTGAATCTTAGCTATTTATTGTGTTTAAGTTTGGAGACTATAATTTGAATCTCAGTTATATATTATATATTTGTGTTATATTATTAGGTCTAATTGTTATTGGTTAATTGAATATTTTGCATTTGAAATGCTATACTGATTTTAGCCAGGCGCTCCATGAAAAGTGTTAAAATAAGGATTGATATTGCCGTATTTTTCAAAACGTATTATTGACAATGTGCTGTATTAAACCTGTATATACCCGTACCATATTTTTCCCGTATTCGAATTTTATTGCCGAATTTTTACAAACGCATTTTTCACGCTTTGTCATACCATACCCGTAAAATTCTCGTACCGTTTTTTTTGCCATGCCCGTATTTACTAACTAGGCACAAAATTTATATTTTAAATTGCCCATTTTTTGGAGTTATTTATTCTAATTAATTTCTCTTGCACAATTTTATCCTAATTTGAGGTTTCTTTTTCTTTTCTTTTTTTTTTTTTTAGGAAAAAAAGTTTGGACGTGGCAAAATAGTGAGAATATATAAGATGTGTTTGGTTCAGAAAATATTGTATTACTAGGAATGCTATATTAATGGAAAGATAGATTACCTTGAAAATTACTAGAAATGTTTAGGAAAATGTGTTTAATTGGTTAGAATAAATTGGTGGGTATGTTATATTAATATGTTTGGTTAGGAGGAATAAACTGATGGGTATATTATATAATTTACTAAATTGCCCTCCTTTTTAAATATTAATATAATATTATTTTTATCATTATTTTTTGAATTATTTCTTTTAACCCCTTACATTTCAGATTTAGCTAAAACACTCCAGCCACAAAAAAGTTTAAAACTTAACAAAAACATCCCCACCCACACCAAGCTAGTGTCAGCCGCCAACCACCATTGCTGGCGATGGCGACAGTGGCCATAATGGCACATGAATGGCCATACTTAATTATTAACTACAAATTTGCGATATTTAAGAATAAATTAATAATATCAATAATAATAACATTAATGTTTGAAAGGAAAGTAACCAAATTTTAATATTTTCTTGAAAAAGTTCAATTAAGATATATCATAAGAGAATCTATTTATTAATGTGTTATTATAATGCATAAGTTATGTTGATGTAGAAAATCGTACCAATTAGAGGTACATGATTGATAATGCTAGAACCACATAAGATATGTGTGTAATCCTGATGGATCACCGATGGAATAATACCATAATGAATATGCAGTAATAAACATAAAATAACAAAGAACTATAAATACTTTTTAAAGTGGTTCGTCTACTTATAATGCAAAACCTACGTCCACTGTTATGTTATTAAATCTATAGAAAATAGTAAGCGAGTTGCTTTTACAAGAGTTTAATGGGTTTTGTGATCTATTTCCTACGTCCCCAAAAATAGATTATAATGGATTTTTTATAGTGTCAGTTATATAGTTGAGTTGAGATAAACTCAAATTCAATTAAACGGTAAGTTGTGCAATCATCGACTTTGATATGGTATCCATATCACGAGATATTTATATGCCAACTGGAGATTTATCCACTTTGGATTTCTCGCACACACGTTAAAACCACTAACAAAAAAAAAATAATCATATAATTTTTTCTTAAATATAGTATATCGAAATAAAAAAAAAAAAAAAATTGTCACTGACACTCGCTAAATCAACTCTTTATTGATAGATGAGACTATTTATACCCAAAATATACAATTAAAGCTACAACAAAATGTTGAAAAATTACTTTTAAGATTATAATTATACTAGACATGGGGCCCGCACATTGCACGGGTATGTTTATTCAATGTTTTTGAAATAGATTGTAAACAAATTTATTCTAACAAAATAAATTAATTAGATTAAGAGATAATAATTGTTAAATTATACAAATTTTAGAGTAAATGTAAATTGTATACATGTACATAGTTGTGTTAAGATAAAATTAATAATTGTACCTCTATAATTATTAATATCAATTATAGGCAGATGTTATTAAATCATTCATTTAACTTGAGAAGACTACCTGAATATTATATGGTCTAGTTGTACAATTGATATTATTTTTGCAGACATGTCTTTGATATTCGATGTCAGTATTTTGTAGTGAATTGTGTATGGTATTTAATATCACGTGAATATTATCAAGATCAACTATTTAAACTTAAGGTTTATACTGAGCTTTCGCAATTTCTGTAAGTTATATTCATTTTTAAGTTTGACATTGACTAGTAAATTTTTTCTCATAGTATAGGGTCATATATTTCTTTAAAATCAGTAACCCTCAGCCAAGTTTTGAAAACAAACGTCTGTTCACATAGTTCATTCAAAGGCTTTGTTTGTTTAATAGTTGAGAACATGATAACTCAATTAATTTCTAGGTTAATAATTGTAGAGCTACAAAACAGAATATGAAGAGACTAACTTATATGAAGAGACTAACTTCTATAATGTACCTATATAAATATTATTAATAGTCATCCAACGTGTGAAGATGGAGCAATTAAATCAAAACCAATGTGTCAAGATGCGTAAATTTTAGTAGATTCATTAAACAGTAAATCCAGTGCGTTAATCAAAGGAACAATTGTATATCTACAAAATGAGTACTAAATTTCTATCAATTAATGAGTAACATTAAAATCAAGATAAAGTTGAACACGGAGAATAATACTTTTATTATAAAAGAAATAAGTACATCGGTTTTTCATATTGTGAAGTGGGTTTGGATGATGTAGATGGTGTTTATTTTCTATTTCTCTTATAGTTGTTTAGTTCCTCTGGTGCAAATGCATACTCCCTATTGTTTATGTTATAGATAATATTCAAGGCAGATTGCATGATTTCTAACATCTGGTCAATGACTTCTCTGAATTTCTCTCTAGCAGCATGTAGATCATCCAGATCAGTGTCAACTTTTCTAAGAATTTCCCTCAATTCTGGCATTCCCTGAAAAATGTTTAAATCAATTGCAGATGCAAAATACAATCAAATTTTATAAATATATGAAAACGGTAAGATGAATCTGTAAATATAATTATGAAATGAACTCTTGACATATAAAATGTTTTTTTTTTTTTTTTTTTATGGCTTTTATATTCCCGCAAATATTTATTGTCGTTTTGTTTGACATTTTGTAATTTAGGATACAAAAGACATGGAACATTCATACCTTTTGGTTGCCTTGGTGGAGAATTATTTTTATTAAGGTCGTTGCTGATATTCATTGTAGATTATTTTGGTTGTGATGTTTTGTTAGCCATTTTCGAATTAAATTGGGGAGAAGAAATGAGCAATGAAAGTGTATAGTATTTGAAGAAAGTTAAATGGGTGATTGATGTCAGAGTAATATTTATAGGAGAATAAGATACGAAGAGGTGGAATCTGAGATAATATATTTAGATTGATGTTTATTGAATATGTTTAATTTTTTAACATTTTCATAAACAATTTTGTCTAACATTCTTATTTAATATCTATTAAAATGTTTAATATCATTTATGTTTTATCCAGTATTTTAGTCTTGTAATTAAAATTTTGTTAGTTCACATTAGAATATATCTTGATTTGTTTTATCTAAATAGAAATAGGAAACAAATAGACAGAATATGAATATAGATGTTATAATAAACAAACCCTGCTATTTAAGAAGAATAAAATCTTTTTGCACAAGTTTAATAGAAAGGATAATAAGAATAAATTTGAACTAATCTTTTATGCGAGAGTTTTTGTCATAGTATAAGATTCAGATGGTTCCTTCACATCCATAATCCTCATATTGATTTTGAAAATGAATGTCTATCTATACAGTTCATTCCAAGCTTTTGGGATTATTTTTCCGATCGTTGCCTTGTTTGTTTAACAGTTGAGAACATGATAACCCAATCAATTTTTGGGGTACTATATCAAACAATATAAAAGTTGCTCTGGGAAAATGAACAGACATCTAGTAACAAATAAACATGGTGATTGAAAAAGAGTTAACAACTTTTAGGTTAAGGGGATACAAAACGGTAGCAAACTGTTTGTACCGCATTAAAGGAAAGTGTAATAAATAGTTAACAATGGTTCAGCAGGCGGGTTTCCAAAATATGTTGTGGTTCGGCGTGGAATTTAATCTAATCAATAATGGAATGGAATTTTTTTCTGATATGTTATAGGAACGGTATTTAGATTGTTGTTTGTCAAACGTGTTTAATTCTTTGAGATTCTCATAATCACTATTCTTTAACATTCTTATTAAACATTGTTTATGTTTTATTGATCACTATAATTTCGTGATTAATTTTTCTTTATAAGTTATTAAATATTTGGATCAATTGTAGATAATCCAATGAGTTTTAACTACTATTTTCAGATTAAATTAAAAAGAATTTAAATTTTTACATGTGCAAGAAATTACATAAGAAACTTACTAAAAATTAAATTTCATACAGACTTTTGGTAATCCACGTTACATCTATGACATGTGATATTTTCTGGTGACGTTGATCTGTCCCAGTGTATACAATTTTGATTCCCCTTTTACAAGTCCCAAATATTTGTCTTTTAATGAGAATTGTGGTAGTTGGAGTCAAGGACTTGAATTCTTCCCTGCAATATTTTAGTTCATAGAAATGATTAGGTAGTTTTACTAATTTCATGAGAATTTGTATACCTCTGTTGTCATGTATAGTGAGCAAAGCAACGGCAGTGTGATATATTGCTTACATGTTATATTTTTTGCAAACTACAATCAATAGTTGTAATCCCATATTTGTATCATGTTTGACGAAGAACAAATGTGTTTCAATCAGTAGCAAAGCTTGTTTATTTTTTTCTTCTGCAAGTGTCTTCAGAATTGAAAGTC